TGATGGGGAGTTCACAAGAAACGACCGAGAGGTATGTGAGGAGCTCAACACGAGATTTAAAGAAGTATTTACAGTGGAAACCAGTAGGACTCCAGGAAATCAGAACAGGGTGGTACACCAACAAGTGCTGGATGAGGTACACATAACCAAGGAGGAGGTGAAGAAGCTGCTATGTGAACTTGATACTTCAAAAGCGGTGGGACCAGACATCTCTCCGTGGGTCCTTAGAGTGAGAGCAGAGATGCTGTGTGTGCCATTAACAAAGATCTTCAACACATCGATTGAAACTGGGCAACTCCCTGAGGTATGGAAGATGGCAAATGTAGTCCCAACTTTTAAGAAGGGAGACAGACACGAGGTATTAAACTACAGAGCTGTGCCACTAACGTGTATAGAATGCAAAGTCATAGAGATCATCAGGAGGAGAATGGGGGAGCACCTGGAAAGAAACAAGTGTATAATTGACAACCAGCACGGTTTCAGGGAAGGAAAATCCTGTGTCACAAACCTACTGGAGTTTTATGACAAGGTGACAAGAGTAAGACAAGAGAGAGAGGGGTGGATCGACTGCATTTTTTTGGACTGCAAGAAGGCCTTCGGCACAGTTCCTCACAAGAGGTTACTGGAAAAGCTAGAGGATGGATCAGGCACACACAACAGGAAAGGCACTGCAATGGATCAGAGAATACCTGAAAGGGAGGCAACAACGAGTCATGGTACGTGACGAGGTGTCAGAGTGGGCGTCTGTGACAAGTGGGGTTCCACAGGGGTCAGTCCTAGGACCTGTGTTGTTTTTGGTATATGTGAATGATATAACGGAAGGGATAGACTCAGAAGTGTCCTTGTTTGCAGATGATGTGAAGTTAATGGGAAGAATCAAATCGGATGAAGATCAGGCAAGACAACAAAGAGACCTGGACAGGCTACAAGCCTGGTCCAGCAACTTGCTTCTTAAGTTTAACCCTGCCAAATGCAAAGTCATGAAGATTGGGGAAGGGCAAAGAAGACCACAGACACAATATAGTCTAGATGGCCAAAGACTGCAAACCTCACTCAAGGAAAAAGATCTGGGGGTGAGTATAACACCTAGCACATCTCCTGAGGCGCACATCAATCAGATAACTGCTGCAGCATACGGGCGTCTTGCAAACCTACGGATAGCGTTCCGATACCTCAGTAAGGATTCGTTCAAGACTCTGTATACCATTTACGTCAGGCTCATACTAGAGTATGCAGCCCCAGTTTGGAATCCACACCTCGTCAAGCACGTCAAGAAATTAGATAAAGTGCAAAGGTTTGCAACAAGACTAGTCCCAGAGCTAAGGGTATTGTCCTACGAAGAAAGGTTGAGGGAAATCGGCCTGACAACACTGGAGGACAAGAGGGTCAGGGGAGACATAATAACGACATATAAAATACTGCACGAAATAGACAAGGTGGACAAAGACGGGATGTTCCAGAGATGGGACACAGAAGCAAGAGGTCACAATTGGAAGTTGAAGACTCAGATGAATCAAAGGGATGTTAGGAAGTATTTCTTCAGTCATAGAGTAGTCAGGCGTGGAATAGCCTAGAAAGTGACGTAGTGGAGGCGGGAACCATACATAGTTTTAAGGCGAGGCTTGATAAAGCTCATGGAGCAGGGAGAAGACGTAGTAGCAATCAGTGAAGAGGAGGGGCCAGGAGCTATGAATCGACTCCTGCAACCACAAATAGGTGAGTACACACACACACACACACACACACACACACGCACGCACGCTCACATTGAGGACATCACATATGACAGGCCCCTTGGAGCTAGTAATCACGTAGTTCAAAGCTTTGAATACATAGTAGAGTTACAAGTGGAGAGGGTGGCAGGAGTTGAATGGGAAAAGCCAAACTATAAAAGGGGGGACTACACAGGTATGAGGAATTTCCTGCAGGAGGTTCAGTGGGACAGAGAACTGGTAGGAAAGTCAGTAAACCATATGAACTACGTAACAACAAAATGCAAGGAGGCAGAGGAAAGGTGTGTTCCCAAGGGCAACAGAAATAATGGGAAGACCAGAACGAGCCCCTGGTTTACCCGAAAGTGTAGGGAGGCAAAAACTCAGTGCACTAGAGAATGGAAAAAGTACAGAAGTCAAAGGACCCAGGAAAATAGAGATTAGTCGAAGAGCCTGAAACGAGTATACACAGGTAAGGAGGGAGGCTCAGCGGCAGTACGAAAAAGCATAGCATCGAAAGTCAAGTCTGACCCGAAACTGCTGCATAGCCACCTTAGGAGGAAGACAGTAAAAGACCAGGTAATCAGGCTGAGGAAAGAAGAAACGATCAAGAGGTATGTGAGGAGATCAACACTAGATTAAAGGAAGTATTTACAATGGAGACAGGAAGGACTCTGGAAAGATAGAACAGAGGGGGACACCAACAAAGGTTATACCAACAAGTGTTTGATGAAAAACACACAACTGAGGAGGAGGTGAAGAAGCTGCTAAGTTGCCTTGATCCATCAAAGGCGATGGGACCAGACATCTCTCCATGGGTCGTTAGAGAGGGAGCAGAGATGCTGTGTGTGCAACTAAGCACAATTTTCAACACATCCCGTGAAACTGGGCAACTGAGGTATGGAAGACGCCAAATGAAGTTCCCATTTTTAAGAAAGGAGACAGAAACGAGGCACTAAACTATAGACCTGTGTCACTGACGTGTATAGTATGCAAAGTCATGGAGAAGATTATCAGGAGAAGAGTGGTGGAGCACCTGGAACAGAACAAGTTTATAAACGACAACCAGCATCAATTCATGGAAAGGAAATCCATTGTCATAAACCCTGTGGAGTTTTATGACAAAGTAACAGAAGGCACGAGAGAGAGGGGTGGGTTGATTGCATTTTCTTGGACTGCAAGAAGGCCTTCGACACAGTTCCTCACAAAGATTGGTGCAGAAGCTAGAGGATCAGGTGCGTATAACAAGAAGGACACTGCAATGGATCAGAGAATACCTGACAGGCAGGCGACGAGTCATGGTACGTGATGAGGTATCACAGTGGGCGCCTGTGACGAGCGGGGTCCCACAGGGGTCAGTCCTAGAACAAGTGTTATTTTTGGTATATAAATGAATGATATGATGGAAGGGATAGACTCAGAAGTGTCCCTGTTCGCAGATGATGTGAAGTTAATGAGGAGAATTAAATCAGACGAGGATCAGGCAGGACTTCAAAGAGACCTGGATAGGCTGGACACCTGGTCCAGCAACTGGCTTCTTGAATTTAACTCTGCCATATGCAAAGTCATGAAGATCGGAGAAGGGCAAAGATGACCGCAGAGTATAAGCTTGGTGGCCAAAACTGCAAACCTCTCTCACGGAGAAAGATCTTGGGGTGAGTATAACACCGAGCATGTCTCCGGAAGCACACATCAACCAGGTAACTGCTGCAGCATATGGGCGCCTGGCAAACCTGATAATAGCGTTCCGATACCTTAGTAAGGAATCGTTCAAGACACTGTACACTGTGTATGTCAGGCCCATACTGGAGTATGCAGCACCAGTTTGGAACCCACACCGGGTCAAGCACCTCAAAAAATTAGAGAAAGTGCAAATGTTTGCTACAAGGTTAGTTCCAGAGCTAAGGGCAATGTCCTACGAAGAAAGGTTGAGGGAAATCGGCCTGACGACACTGGAGGACAGGAGGATTAGGGAAGACCTGATGACGATATACAAAATACTGCGAGGAATTCACAAGGTGGACAGAGACATGATATTCCCGAGATGGGACACAGAAACAAGGGGCCATGATTGAAAGTTGAAGACTCAGATTAGTCAAAGGGATGTTAGGAAGTATTTCTTCGGTCACAGAGTTGCCATGAAGTGAAATAATCTAGAAAGTGATGTAGTGGAGGAAGGAACCATACATAGCTTTAAGACGAGGTATGATGAAGCTCATGAGCACAGAGAGAGAGAGATGACCTAGTAGCGATCAGTGAAGATGAGGGGCCAGGAGCTGAGTCTTGACCCCTTCAACCACGATTAGGTGAGTACAGTTAGGTGAGTACACACACACACACACACACACACACACACATTTAACATTGTTGCTACAACCACTACAGTAGAAGAATGATGATACAACGTTCCTGTTACATATATATATATATAATATATATATATATATATATATATATATATATATATACTATATATATATATATCTTATATATAATATATATATATAATATATATATAATATATATATACTATATATATTATATATATATATATATATATATATATATTATATATATATATATATATATATATATATATATATATATATATATATATATATATATATATATATATATATATATATATATATATATATATATATATATATATATATATATATATATATATATATATATAATATATATATATGCAATAAGATCAGAGTAAACATGTGATTTCAGAATATGCAAAACAACACTGTGAAAGAATAGAGAAATTCCAAGCGATTTCGTGACTACTCACATTATCAATGTTCCTTGATAATGTGAGTAGTCACGAAATCGCTTGGAAATTTCTCTATTCTTTCACAGTGGTTGTTTTGCATATTCTGAAATCACATGTTTACTCTGATCTTATTGCAATAATATATATATATATATATATATATATATATATTATATATATATATATATATATATAATATATATATATAGATATATATATATAGATATATATATTATATATATTATATATATATATATATATATATATATATATATAATAGATATATATATATATATATATAGATATATATATTATATATATATGTATGTATAGGAATTCCTTCCCTTCATTGAATATCACGGCATCTACAATTTCCTTACCATGATTCCTAATAACTGCTTGCAATATTACTATGTCATTAGCTACAAGCTGAAATTTCTTTCGTTATTAAAAGTCGAGGGGGAATCTGAATGGGGTAACTTCCATTATTATTTCATCATCAGCTGAGAGAAAGGAAGAACGATACCAGGAGCAGCAACTACCACAGCTTCACCCGGAGTTTCCGATGCTTCCTCAGGACGTGGGACAAGAAATGGCTGATCTGTATGGCAGCATCATGTCAAGAGAGGACCTTGCCAAGCTGGATTCTCAGCCTAACCCCTTCAACTTCAGCGAACGTGTCTCTCAAACACTTCGCGTTCCCATGACGGTCAGTGTGACTTGTTTAATGCCCAGTTATTATCATAGGGAACCTGTAAATACCCATTTTCCATTTCAAACAATATTTCTATACTTCTTAGATTATACAAGGGTCATCTGCTCGTTTTTTTTTTAAAAATTCAAGAATTTTGGTATGAAAAATTCTTAGTGCATCGCTTTACGAATTCAAATAAAGAATATATGAATATTAAGGCTTGTTGGGTTACCTCAGAACACAGCAGGACAGACTGACCCGCCTCCCAGTACAACTTTCTGTCTCAACGTCGGCTTCTCTGTCATCTATGATGCTTACGACCTCGATTATTCTGTTCTCTTGGAAAAGAAGAGGAAAGAACTGGAAAATGCGAATAATAAGGACAAGAGTAAGGAGAAAAGGAACGAGAAACAGGTAGGATTTTATTTCATGTTTCAGACTAACAATGTAGCTTTAAAATCAGTCAAACCATACCCCCGGCCGGGATTGAACCCGCGGTCATAGAGTCTCAAAACTCCAGCCCGTCGCGTTAGCCACTAGACCAGCTAGCCACAATAAGATTCATCCAACTAGGTATATTTCAACACCATAGGATGAATCTTATTGTGGCTAGCTGGTCTAGTGGCTAACGCGACGGGCTGGAGTTTTGAGACTATGACCGCGGGTTCAATCCCGGCCGGGGGTATGGTTTATTTGCAATCGTGTCATTACGATTTCTTAAGTCATGTTTAAAATCAGTAATATGATAAAGCCTAAATACAAATAAAGTCTTAGTGACCAATATTGTTATTTAGATGACCACCTTTAAAGGTCAATTTTATTGCATAATTTTTATTGATAGTGTTATGGAAAAATCGGAGACTTCAATTAGAAAAGTTATACAGGTTACCTCTCATAGAAGACAAAACTTATGCTGACGATTAGGTCCGAATTAGACCCTTTGAAATTTTAGCTCTCCTGCAGTGCTCTGTTCTATGTACTTCGACTATTCCTACTACTGCTACGACTACTATTTCTTCTCTAACACCACACTCGACCCCTTTTTTCACTACCGCTACTACTTTAAGTGTACCTTTACCACTTCTGCACTATTTCTACCACTACTATCACCACCACTACTACTCCCTCCTCCTGTTCTACCACTTCCGCCCCCCCCCCTCTTGTTTATATTCCGACTGAAATGTCATCATTAGTTTCAGTCTCGTTCGTGCCGGTTAGTTGTGCTTTCATTATTAAAGAAAAGTTGATGTACAGGATATGAATCGTGTTCACATAATGAACAATGCTTAGACAATAAAAAAATTTTGTTACAAATATATGGATTAGGTATAACAGATGAATGCTGTCAAGTGCTTAGAGGAGAATGATGTTTGGGTCAGCGTATTCCGGAAAGAAGGTGATTTCCCTTACCTTGTTTCAATTCATGATTGTTAAATGTCTTCAAAAAGGGGACAATAGCTGAAGAAAATGTATACAATGGTTTCAAATGTGTTGTTTAATACAGACTTCCTCCCTACTTCCAACAGTAGTCAGGCGACCAAAACATTAAGTTTCATAATTTAAAATGCTCGAATGTATTTATTAAGCGGAAAGTGGTAAATGTTAACAGAGTGGTTAAATATAAAAGGATTGTTGATACATATATTTAACAAACTAGTTTTAATTTCGGCAGAAACATCTCGTCTGTTCCTCACTATTAATAATTATTTACAACGTTAGAATACTACAGGTTGGGAAACACTGTCAACTAGAGTGCTAGGAAAAGGCGTCTAATTCATCTGATGTAAAATAGGAGTCGTTAGATGCTGTTTGCGGATGATACAGTGTTACTGGGAAAAACAGAAGAAAAGCTGCAAAAATTAGTTAGGACTGTGGCAGGGTACGTGAAAGATAGAAGTCAAAAATAACTGCAGAAAAGAAAGCAATGATAATATGTGAAAGGATAAGTGAGGAAACACTGGAGGTTAAATTTGAAGGTAAAAGTATACACGAGTTAATTCTCATACTTAGAAGTACATGAATCCACACATGGGTTTATAACAGACAAGTTTAATCACAAAATATAATGGATAAAGAAAATTGCCGAATGTTGAGACAACTACACAAAGATCTTTGTCAATGGAAGCAAAAATGGAAATTTAAAAGAATACATTCGAACTGCCACATCTTTACTGGTGCAAACTGGCAAGATATCTTCTTTCTTTGATCATATACACAAGGAGTTTCAAAAACCTTATCGACTGAGGATCTATAAGGCTGTATTTTCCGATGCAGCATCAAATATGGACGCACATGTATGCACATGCACTCACAGCCACCAGCAGTGCTTTCTGTATTTAGTGTTTTGTGGCATTTCAGTACATCATGGAGTCATCGTTCCGTGACAACCCCCCTCCTCCCAGGCTCCTTTTTGTTAATGAATCCTATTCTGACCCAGCTTCGTTACTGGACCATTCTCCAGACTTTTCCCATACCCCTGTAACTCCTGCTGGTGACACTGTCACCTGCTCCAGGTGCCAAGGCTCTGCTCATTTTTGTTAGTGCCTCTGCCTCTTGCACGCCTTTAACTCTGCGTCCGGCTTCCCCAAATACGGTGCGACGGTTTTTGGATCGCCCACCAGCCTCAGGTTGCCGCCCCCGATCCTATGCCTAAACGTTCCAGACCATTTGCTGACAATGGTTCTTTGATTTCTGCTCATTCCACCCAGAAACGACCTACACGACACCCACTTCCTTTACTCACCATGTTTACGAGTGACAAAGTGGAGCAAATTCATTTCCTTACAACCGATGTCTCCAACTGATTATCTTTCAGACCACAGTATTGGTAAAGCTCTTTTACAAAATGTTACCCAAAATATATCCTTTCACGTTCTTCGGAGTGGTGCGCACATGCTACAGTTCAGAATGAAGGTCAAGCTCATGTGGTACACGTTGGTTCCTTACTCACGTACCATTGCTCAGTGTGATTTTCTGTCTTGCGGTGACGATATTTTAGAGCAATTACCCCTTCAAGACCTTCCAATTCTCAAAGTGGATATCTCCTGCCCGCTCGCGGGAGGAGGCACTTTCCCAGTAACATCCCTTGCTTAACCTTTGACTTCTGTGAAGTACTGTCCTCCGTTTATATCGCAGGACATCGCCAAGGAGTCCAAAAGTGGTCCCTACACCCCAACAGTGTCATAATTGTTGGCGCTTCGGACATCCCGTTAAATACTACAGGTCTTTTTCCCGCAGATGTCAAGTCTGTCTTAATGAACGTGAAATCCATTGTCTTAAATAGAGCAAAGGCCTTACTTATGTTATGGCTGTCTCTCGGCTCTGCCTTCAGGGGAATCTTCCTCGTGTTCCTCATTCTCGAGTAGCTAGGAGACCAAGCTCGGCGGTCTTCCCGTCTACCAGCTTCTCTGGTGCCATGTCTTCCGGGGTCACCCCCCAACCTCTCCAATTCTTTTGCAGTTATACCCTCTGAAACCCCCACCTCCTTACCTCTTCTTACTTCTACTTTTTCTTCACTTCGCCTGTTAGTTTCTCAGTCTGCGAGTACTAGCACGCCTGCTAGTCTGTTGAGCCTAAGTTTCTTCGCATTCCTCTGGTGTTTACAATTCCCCAACAGTTCTCCTCAGCCTCAGTGCCTAGTTCTCACCCCCTATCTATCTCTCACACGAAGGTGGAGGTTCACCCCCTTGTGTGGTCCCCACTTCTCCTGTGCCCCCTCAGGCTTCTTCTCCCAGTCCCATTCCAGCCTCCTTCCTCTCCTGCTCTACTGAAGGACTCTTCTGTCCCCGCCAGCACATCTCTCCAGGCTCATACTCCCCTTCCCTCTCAGACCTCTTTGGTTCCCTCCATGGTCTCCCCAATCTCTACTTGCTCTACCTCATCTGTCTCTGGAAGTCATCGTATCGGCATCTTCCTTGTCTGCTGAAACTCTTGATGCTATTTCCTTCTATATTGCGGAGACGAAACCCTCAATGAACACCAGTGCGCCTCCTTATGCCTCTTCTTATTTTTCACGACCCTCACAGCAATCATTTCCTTCACAGCAATCTGATTCCTCCTTTCTTACATCCTTTCTGTTGCCTCCACACATTGACTTCACTGACCCTACAATGGAATATTCTTGGCCTCAGGGGTAAACGAGGAGAGCTCCAGGTGTTGTTCTCCCTGTTTTCCCCAGTATGTGTAGGTCTACAAGAGCCTAAAGTTCATTCAGCAGCTATCAGTCCCATTTCAGTTTATGTGCTGTTGCATTCTTCTGGTCTCTTTCCTGATGAAAATTTTAATGAGAGGGCGCTTGTCAACAGGTCTTTGTTCGTTCTCAGCTGCATTGTACTACTACAGCCAATATTTATTAGTACAGGTTGTATACAGCTTTCTCTATCTCTCTCCTACCCATTCAGTCTATCTTGGATGTTGCGTTATTGATCTCTTCTCTGCCACTACCCATCTTGTTGTTGGTGATTTTAATGCTCATCATCTCAGGGGACGGTCCCACTGTGACTCTCGTGGTGATCAGTTGGAGATTCTTCTCACTTCTCATCCTCTTCATGTTTTAAATACGGGTGCTCCCACCTATTTTGACTCTCGCACTCAGTCTCTCTCTTGCATTTATCTATCTGTTCATCACCAATTGCCCTTGATTACGCTTTGTCAATTCTCCCGGATTTGCACGACAATGATCACTTTCCTATTGTTCTTACTTCTTCTACGTATTCCCGACCGCCTCGTAAGCCCCGTTAGCAATGTGCCTGTGCAGTGCATTTTAAACGTGCTGCATGGGGCTGTTATTGATATAATCGTACCGCAGATCATCTTTTGGATTTTAAGCGAGCAACGACAGTCGCTCGCCGAATCATGCGTGATGCCAAGCACTAAATGCACTTGTTAGCAAGACTACGTTTCTGTTACCTCGACTTTCCCTGTGTGTGCAGTTTGGAAGGTATGGAAGATGTGTGGCAAGTACACTCCGGACCCAGTACCCCATTTTGTGGGTTGCTAGTGTAAGTGATGCGGAACCTCTTGAAGTTTCCATGGAAATCGGGAACTGTCTTGTCCGTGTCTCCCAAGGTCTTAACCTCTATCCCTCGTTTCTCGCTTCCAGAGCTGCCAGGAAGCAATCGCTCTTGGATTTCTCTTCTAATGGATAGAATCCCGCTTTCCACTTGCCGGTCATCGGCAGCTGGGCCCCATGATATTCATATCCGTATGCTACAGCATCTGCATTCTACAGCCCTTACAGTCCTTTTGCATCTTTTAAGTCTTGTTTGGACGCGAGGGGTTCTCCCTCAACATTGGAGATCTGCCATTGTACTGCCGTTTTGCAAAACAGGTACTTCGTGGTTTGATACCTCTCACTGTCGTCCCATTGCTCTTACCAGTGTAGTCTGAAAGGTGATGGAACGATTGGTGAATAC